CCAGAGGGCAGCGAGATGGATCTTTCCCAGCCTCCCTCCCAGCAAGGTGGTGGCACCAACCGGTTGGGAAGGGCTCTGTGTCATCCCTGTGCCCATCTCACCCACGGTATGGCCAGGCTGGAGCTCATCCAGGGAAACTGAGGCACCAGCGTGGTTCCCCCAAGTCCTGTCTGTGGGGCTGTGCTGGGGATTTGCTCCAGCTGTCAGTATTTCCCCCTGGATCCCACAGGGATGTTTGTTGAGGGATGGAATGTGCTGGGAGAGCAGGGCCAGGGCTCGGAGCTGCCCCTTCACCCCCAGCCCAAACCTCGTCCTCCTCCAATGCTTAATGAGCCAGCAGCTCTCAGGGGCGACCAGGGACAGCAAATCCCACCCAGGGCCCCTTGCAAGCAGAATTCCTCGGTGGGAGCCGGCCAGAATCCATTTCCTGAGCGTCTCCACACTCCCTGGGGTAACACAGGGCGATGTTTGGGATGGGGTGACCCCAGGAATACCCAGAGCCTGAGGGGAGCAGAGAAGAGCTGGGTGGGATGGCAAATGGAGCAAGATGGGTGGGCTGGGTGTGGGGAGGGGCTGGGACCCTCCCCTCCCTTCCCCTCCTGCCCAGTGCCCCCACAGCCCCGTCCCAACCCAATTATGGGATAATTCACTTTGAGGTTTGGCTGCTGCTGACGGGATTGATTGAGGAGCTAGTAATTACATCTCCCTAAAAGGCCCCTGGGGCTTTGTGGGAGATCAACTGGGGAAGGGAAAGGCTGATTTTTATGGGGGGACAGGCTTGGGGAGCCTGCCACAGCCACGTGTCCCCCTCATCGTGTCCTCATCCCTCTGCCATGCAGGGATCTCTCACTGCAGCCTGAGCTCGGCGTCATCCATTATGCAGGCTTGTAAATATATTATTTACTATTTCCCCGATTTTCACTCATTATTTATCACCTGCAGGCAGGGCTGCAGCCCCCAGGCAGGATCCTGTCAGGGACAGGGCTCCCCCCTTCCCTCAGCAGCAGAGGAGGGAGTTGGGAAGCTGCAGGCTGGGGGCCCAGGAACCCCTGAACACACCTGGGGGAGCTTCAGCTGCAGGTGGGTTAAATCTCCTCCCTGAGCACACCTGGAGGATTTCAACTGGATTAAATCTCCTCCTTGAACACACCTGGAGGAGTTTCAGCTGGGTTAAATCTCCTCCTTGAACACACCTGGAGGAGTTTCAGCTGCTCTGGGTTACATGTCCTCACTGAGCCCACCTGGAGGAGCTGCAGGTGGGTTAAATCTCCCTGAGCACACCTGGAGGAGTTTCAGCTGGGTTAAATCTCCTCCTTGAACACACCTGGAGGAGTTTCAGCTGCTCTGGGTTACATCTCCTCACTGAGCCCACCTGGAGGAGTTTCAGCTGGGTTAAATCTCCCTGAGCACACCTGGAGGAGCCTCAGCTGCAGGTGGGTTAAATCTCCTCCCTGAGCACACCTGGAGGGTGTTCAGCTGCTCTGGATTAAATCTCCTCCCTGAGCACACCTGGAGAATTTCAGCTGCTCTGGATTAAATCTCCTCCCTAAGCGCACCTGGAGGAGTTTCAGCTGGGTTAAATCTCCCTCAACACACCTGGAGGATTTTCAGCTTCAATCTCGAGCCCCAGTGCAGAGCAGAGTGGGGCTGTGGGCTCAGTGCAGCTGCCCTGGGGTGCCCACCCTGTGCCAGGCAATGCTGGAGCTGCTCCTTTCCAGGAGGGATGAGCCGTGAATGATGCCCATTGGGGACTGGTAAGGTGGGGTTTGGGTTCTGTTGCTTTTGTAGGGTTCTGCTGGCAGGAACCCCAAATTATGGGGTGTGAAACGAGCCCAGGGCTGCTGTGGGCACCCACAGGTGTGTGGGTACTTCAGGTGGTGATGGCAAGGCCAGGGGTGCTGGGAGAGTGAGACCACACATGACATCCCCTAAAAACTGATCTGGCGTCCCCTCCAAGCCTTTTTGGGTCTGTATTTTCCAAACCCCCCGCTTCTGTGAGCTTTGGGTGTGGGAATCAGGGATGGGGTCACTACAGGCGCTCTGGCTGAGGGGAGAGGGTTTGGGGGGCTCTGGCACCCCCAGCCTGGCCCTGGCTGCTGAGGGGGGTCAGCAGCGAGTGCCTCAGACCCCTCAGTTTCTGGAGCATGAGATGAAGTGCGAGCCTCGGACGCAGCCCCCAGCAAACCTGGCTGCTCCCCAGCTGCTGCTCCCGAGGAGGAACGCTCCGGAGGTGCCCTTTAAATGTTAAGAAATGATGTTAAAATGAGCCGGAGCCTTCGTTTAAATTTTTAATCTCCTGATTTAAAAACCCAGCCCCGAGCTCTGGGCTGCTGTGGGGGCTGCTGCTGCTCGCTGAGTGTCTCTGTGCCGGTGGTCCTGGAGTGTGGGGTCAGCGCTGCAGTGGGGGCTGCACCTCTGCCCTCCTGCTGCTGAGTGGAGCCAGCTTTTCCCCATCCTGGGGCTTCTCCCGACCCTTTCCAGCCCGTAGGAAAAGGAAAACTTGGATTTGAAGGGCAGTGGAGGAGCGGTTTGTGTGGCTGGGGCTGAGGGGCTGTCCTGGGGTGCTCAATTAGGGGGGCTCAGAGAAGGAGCCTCAATGCTGTCCTGGGGTGCTCAATTAGAGGGGTTCAGGGCAGAAGGACTCTCAATGCTGTGATGGGGTGTTCAGTTGGAGGGTTCAGAGCAGAAGGAACCTCAGTGCCAGCACCAGGGTGGGTTTGGGAGCCCTGGTGGTGCCAAACCCTCGTGTCTGAAGGGGAACCAGGGCTGGTTGGGCTGGGTGGGGGTCCCATGATCCCCACACCCCCCTGGGGGATGGTGGGACCCTTAACCCCTCCATTCCAGTGGATTGTGGGTTACTTGGGCCCATCTGATGGGCGCAGAGGGGTGGCAGCCACAGCCAGGTCACCCTGACCCCCTTGGTGGCTCGTTCCCAAATCTCCCCAAGGACAGAGCCAGCTCCTGCCCAGCCGTGGGAGTCCTGCCCCAGGGCTGGAGATGCTGCTCTGCTCTCTGCCACCTCAGAGCCCCCTCAGCACCTCGGAGGAAGGTTTAATTGGGCTGAGATGCCCCGAGCAGCTGATGCTGGGAGACAGCCCCGGGGCTGGGATGGGGAGCAGCCCTGGCAGGAGCGAGAGGGCCCTGCTCCCATCCTCGGTGCTTCTTTAACTCATCAAAGATTGAAGATGTTTCTGTTCTGAGCCGCTTTGGCGGCTCCTTGCACAGCACCTGAGGGCAGAGTGGAGCCCTGATTGATGCCCTTCAAGGAGAGGCAGCTTCAGCCCTGCCAAAATTGGGATATTTGCCGGTGTGTGGCCTTGCAGGGCTGGGGAGGGCCCTGAGGGCCCAGGGAGTGATGAGGTGGCTGTGACTCACCCCAGGCTGCAGCTCTGGGGAGAAGGGACCTGTGCTAAGCCCAGGTTTGAAGTGAGCATTAAACGATTGCAGGGGCCGCTCTGGCCTGCAGCGCTACCCCGGGTTGACTCTTCCAGCAGAGCTGGAGAAAAAAGCCCCTTTCAATCTTAATTACAAACCCGAGAAGGTGTCAGGGAGCCTTGCTGCAGCCGGGGTTATCCTCCCTGTTAGAAACCTGCGCGTTATTGTTGGTCTGGACGGCTCTGGCTTCTCCTCCTGCCTGCGGGAGCTCGTTACCCCGCAGCCCGCGAGGCTGCCCAGCCTCCCGCATCCAATTTCTCTTCCTGCGCCGGTGCTGACAGCCCGTGCCTCCATCCATCTCCTGTGCCCTTTGATAGCCGAGAAGGACTGAGCTCCTGGAGCCTCTCGCTCACTCACAGGCAGCGCTCCCGACCTCTCCCCGCCCTTCCCCGGCTGCTGCTCCGCTCCGGGGATGCTGCGGGAGCCAGCGAGGGATGCTGAGCACAGCCGGAGCTCTTGGCTGTTGTCCTGCAGCCTCTGGATAGTGCTGACGGTCCCCAAAGCTCCTGACAGCCCGGCAAAGACTTTTTCCCATTTCAAACAAAGCCTTGATCTTTTTTTGGAACTTGCCTTGGTTTCAGACAAGAGTTTTTTTTTTTTTTTTAATTCAAGCCCAGCGCCGTATTTTGGGTTTTGACTTTGATGCGCCCTCTTCGAGCAGGAGGCAAAATAACAGCGTTCGCATCCGCAAATAGCCCCGGGCGGGCTCCTGCTGCCCGCGGCCCCGGGACCGGCCCCGCCTTGGCCGGGCTCCGACCGCAGCTCGGGGCTGCAGAGCCGCCGGGGCGGGCTGGAGACCCCCGGGCAGGGCTCAGCGGTGATGGAGGAGCTCAAAAACCCCTTTTAGAGGAGCCTTGGAGAGGCAGGAGTCCTGTGATGCGGCTCACGGTGGTCTGTGGGGATGCGCTGTCGCGATTCCCGGTGTAATTACGAGCGGTGCTGCCCCAAATTGTAGGATAAGTTGGGATTCTCTGAAACGCTGGGGGAGGAGGGGGACAAAACTCGTGGGAGATGGAGGAACGCCCTGTGTGGGGCAGGGGTGACCCAGAGCACGGGGGGGACACCTGGGCATCATCCTCAGGGACACGGGTGGGTGGCACTGCGGGGCCAACCCTGCCCTCTGTGATCCCTGCGATGTGCCAGCAGCTCCGGGCTCCTCCACACGCTCCTGGAGACAGGTACAGGTGTGGCGTTACCTGCTGGAACTTGCTCCTGCTCGGAGGGCTTTGGGCAGAGGAGAGCTGGCACAGAGCGGGACAGGGAGGGGAGGGATGTGCTCTGGTGGGGCGCTGATGTGAGATCCAGACTCAATCAGGCTGGGTGACCGTGGGGAACCAGGTACCTGTGCAAGCGGGTAATAAACCACTCACAGCTCAGCAAGATGAATGGTAATAACCATAAATCAGCGCTGGCACCAGGGTCAGAGCCGGATTTATGGCCCTGGAGACAGGAATTCCTGCTCTTCATGGAACAAAGCCCCGATCCTGCAGGGGCCTGGGAGCGTGCTGGGTGTTATTGTGGCTGCAGCGTGTGTGGGGGTGCCTGGGGAACGGGGCTGAACCCCGATGGGGGCTGAGCTCAGCCCTGGCAAGGCAGCCTCTCCCTGTGCTCCCTCCAGCATCGGGAAACACCTCCCTGAGGGGCGAGCCAGGATTGCTGCCTCCCACAGCACATTGATCCCGTCATCTCGGCTGAGAATGCCAGCCACGGAGCTGATTAATGCCGGGGTGGGCAAGAGCCGGGTTATTGTTCAGTCTCTCTTCGAGAGGTCGATGGGAAATTTGGCAGTAGCTCTCCAAATACGCAACGTGCTCGCAGGCGTTGTCCCCCCCAAGGGCTGAGCAGGATTTCCACGTGAGGGTTCCATCCATTGCAGGGGAAATGCACACCGGGGACGGCACACGCAGTTCTGTCAGTGCCTGTGGGAGAGCGTTCCCTCCGTCCCTGCCCTGGTGTGACCCGGCGCTGCCGGGGCTGCCTCCGGGCTAATCTGCTCATGCTTTCGTTTCACCCTGATCCTCGCAGGTCCCTTGGCTCAGAGGGGCCGTGTGTGCGCTCAGGAGGCTGATCCAGAATTCCGGATGGATATTTCCTCCTGTGCAGATGGTGCAGGTCCTTGGGTGTTAATGCTCAGTAGCAGCCGTGACTGAGCTGCTTTCCCCCACCTAATGCAAGGCACTGTGCTAGCAGAAAGCACAGACATCTTTGAAGGATGTGTGATCCTGTTGGGAGCTCTGGGCTTGAGGAATTGCGGGATCAGGCCTGACGAGGTGGTGTGTTGGCAGGGAGGTGCTGCTGGGTCATCTCTGGGGTTAAAGGTTTTGTTGGCTTTTTTGGGGCTTGTTTTGGGGCTTGATTTTGGTAATCCTGTGTCATTAAGTTCTGCCTTAGAGCTACCTGAGGGATGTGCTGTGTCCCCTTCGCAGGGGTCGAGTGCTGATTCTCTGAGCGCTGTCGGAGGGACTGGGGCAGCGAGGGGCGGGTTAGGGTGGGAGCTGCAGACAGAAGCCGCTGCTCCCACAGCGGGGGCACCGGGAGAGCGGGGGGGGGGGACCCGCCCGCTCCTCACGAACCGGGGGCGGCCGGTGGGGACGCGCCCGCTCCCTCCGCGGCCGCTGGGTAGCGCTCGGGGCCGCGCCGTCTCCCCGCCTCCCCGGCTCGGGCTGCCCCCGGCTCCGCCGAGCCCCGCCGCCGCCGCTCACTCCGCCGCCGCACAGCGCAGGAGGAGCAGCAGCAGCGGCCGGAGCGCCGAGAGGGATCGGCGCGGCGCCGCCAGCCCGCCAGCCGCGCGCCGCCAGCGGCTCCGAGCGGGACCCCGCGCCGCCGCCCGCCGCCGCCGCACTTTCCCCCGCTGCCCGCCGGGGACGGATCCTCTCTCTGCCGCCCGGAGCCGCCTAGGAGGGGATGTCCCTCGGCAAGAGCTGAGCGCTGGGGAGGGGCCGCCCCCCGCCCCCAAACTTTTCGCTCGGCCCCGGAGCGTTGGGGAGCCGGCCCCCATGGAGCCCGGGCGGGCAGGAGGGGCCGGGGGCGCGGCGCCCTGCGCTTCCCGTCCCCTTCCCTGACGCGGGGCGCAGCGCTCGGGGAGGGGCTCGGCTGCCGGCTCCGCTCCGGATTTGGTGGTCCCGGCTCCGCACGTCCCTGGGGAAGCCGCCGATGGTGGGGAGCTGCCTGCGGACCGCCCCCAGCCCCACGAGGAGCCCTTCGCCCCGGCGCCTTCGCCTCCCCCTGAGCGGCGCTGCTGCGGGGATCCCTGCGCCGGAGCCGCCCGGATTATAAAGTCGGGGAAGTTCTCCCCCCGCAACCCCCCCAGCTTGTCTCGGCAGAGCCATGGCCCGGCTCCGGAGCTGGGGGCTGCTCTGCTTCGCCGTGCTCGCCCTGCCCGGCCCCCCGGGAGCCGGCGCCCAAGGTAAGGGGATGCGGGGGGCGGCGGGAGATGGGGAGACCCCGCGCTGCACCCCTCAACCGAGCCTATCGCCGCCCCGGGCTGGGAGATCGGTGCGCCAGCCGGGGGATGGGAGCGAGGCGGCTCCGGAGCTCCTACCGGGGGAAGAGCGGCATCCGTGATATTCGCGAAGCCTCCCCGGAGCCAGCACTCGGGGCCCGCCGGTGCCGGGTGCAGCGCGGTGACCGCGGTGGCTCAGGGGGACGAGCAGCATGGCTCTGCTCTGCCTCCCCCTTCCCAAAACTGCCCTCAGGCTGGGCATGGGGGGAACGTGTTGCTCTGAGCATGAGGGAGAGTCTGTGCCGGATCACCTCCGGGAGAGTGAACAACCCGAGGGGTGAGCATCGCCCATACCCCCCACCCTGCCCCAAGGGCACCCCCGATGTAGCACAAACCCCGGGGTGCGAGTCTGGGGGGGTTCCCAGGGAGCCGCTCATACCCTGGTGTTGGTCCTGGTGGCTTCCAGCCGCTGGTACGAACTGCCAGGGACTGGGGGGTTCTGCACCCCCGAGCCCCTGTGGCTGCCTGGGGCTCCCACTGCACCCCAACAACCCATGGGGGCTGCAGGGCAGGGTGAGCTCCTCTCTGCTGCTCTCCTTTGGGCTCGGGCACAGCACAGGCTGCTTTCAGCTGCTCCGCTAGCCCGCAGGGATATAAAATCAGTTTGTGGCCCTTCGGGGTGCAGCTGGGGTTCAGAGGGGCCGGGGGGACCCTGTGCTCCCCTTCCCTGCGGGCCCAGAGAGCAGGATCCCGGCTGGCAGGGCTGCGGCGTGGCTGCCTCCGTCCCTGCGCCTGGGCTGAGCAGATCCAGACGGGAAATGGGGGGGCACGGCTGAGCGCAGCGCCGGGGGTCCTCACCCACGACATTTCTTGCCCTTGTTTGTGGCAGCAAGTGGAGCCAGGAGTCCCTGAGCGCTGCCGTGCTCCCGCTCCCCCTGAGCCTCCCCCAGCGCTGCTATAATTTCTCAGTAATTAAGTTCAGAACATAACATCTAAAGCGGCAGTATATTATCCGGGCAGGCCCTGTGTGGGGAGCTCTGAAGGTCTCTTTGATTGATTCACTCCCTTGCCGAGTTTCTCTTCTCCTGCCTGGCGGCTCCGGCTGCCGAGTCCCCTGCGATCCGTTTGTTGCCTGCCCTCGGGACGGGCTCCTGGGGTCGCCCAACCTCCTCCCGTTTATCCGAGGGGCTGTGGGGTGGGAGATGTGCTCCGGAGAGGTGGGGAAGGGGTTTCTCTCCGCTTTCCTGGCGCTGGAGCCGAGCTTTGCGGCTCTGGCTCTCTGCGGCGCGTGTCACGTCCTCGCGGGCGCTGTGACATTGTGCCCGGCGTGGCAGCGGCCACCAGCGAGCTGGGCGTGCTGGAGGGATCATTCCCAAAGCCTGGCACGTGCCCTGCCGCGGGTGGCACTGGGGACACGCCAGCAGGGTCACCTCCCACCGGCCGTGCCCGTGGGGTGCTGGCGCTCTCCCTGGCATGGAGGTGGGAACAGCCTGGCACGGGGATCCTCCAGGCTCTGCTTTGTCCCCCTGCGGTGGGGCAGGCAGGGCTGGCAGAGCTTTGTGCCAGGTCTATCGATTTTGGCAGCCGAGGAAAACGGGATCAATCGGGGAGGGAAGGAGGAGGCGACGGAGCGAGAGCTCCCCGGCCGGGGCACAGGGGCTGCCCGGGCACGGGGTGAGGCACTTCCATACCTGTGCTTGCTTAAAACAGGCCCCTTGGTGCCCGTGAGAGACAGGAGGGAAGTTTAATTACAGCCCGTCTGCGCTGTGTAATTATTAATTACCCGTGGCAAAAAATAACTTATTGATTAGGGGCCTGGCGCTAATTACCCGGAGCCCAATGCGGAGCTGGGGGAAGGCTCAGCCGGCAGCGCTGCCCGGGCTGGAGCTGTCGCAGTGCGACCTGTGCTGGGCCTGGGGGCTGAGCCAGGCCTGGGGGCACCCCACCATCACCCCTTGGGCTGATGAACAGGGCAATGAAGGGATCCCCAAGAGCTGGGGGGAGCCTGGGGGTCCCCAGCCCTTTGCTGCTCACTCTTTGTGAGATGCAGTTTCCCCACAGCCAGTGCTGGGGGCACAGCCTGGGACCCCCTGTGTGGGCACAGCGCCTCTAATGGGATTGAAGAGGCCGTGGCCAGTCCCAGGAGGGATTTGGGCAGCTTAAGGTTCCAGACGGGATTTGGGGCAGGGGCCTGCCGTGGGCAGCTTCCACCAAAGAGGCTTATTAGAGGTGGCAGCAGGGGAGTTCCAGCATCTTCTGTCCCCGTGCGTGGAGCCTGGGCACGTCTGCACGCACGGGGCTGGGCAGGAGGGGGGCAAGGACGAGCCCTGCCCTTGCTGGGGATGTAATACTGATATTCACAGAGGAACTGCTGCTGGTTCCTCTGTGCTGGTGGCAGCAGGGCAGGAGGGGATGGCCCTGGCTCTGCTGTCCCTGCCAGCCCTGCCACGTTCGCCGGTGGCCTCGCGCGAGGCACCGGCTCTCGGGAAGCAGAGTGGCTTTTAGGGGAGAGGAAGGGAAGGGAGATTAAAATTTGATGCTGCTTGGGAAGCCATTAGTGCCTGAGCACGGCGATGATGAAATTTTGATGACCTGATCACCGTGAGGGAGGGGGATACGCTCCTGTCCCGGGCAGGCTGTGTCACTGTGCTGTCACTGCGCTGTCCCCAAAGCTTTGGGGTGCCAGCTGAGGGGCAGAACAGGCAGGATGAGGGCTGGCATGGAAATGGGAGCTCGCACCCACCTCCGCTGGTGGGCAGGGAGAGCCGGCGGTGGCTGAGCAGCTCCTGCCCCGGGTGAGTGACAACGTCAAGTGCTGCTCGTCCCTCGGTGACGGGGACAGCGCTGCGGTGGCATTTCCGCTCAGCAGGAGCTCCAGGAGAGCGGCAAGGAGGGAGCAGGCGGATCCTTGGCTGCTGGAGCACCTGGGAAAGCGCCGATAATTAAACCGCGAGGAGGGAGGCTGCAAGAGGGGTGACCCTGCCTCTGCCACTCCGCCAGCCGTGTCCCTGTCCCCCAGTGGCTGGTTCCTGCCTGGGGATGAGCTCCAGCCACGCTCTCATCCCTGTAGGCCCTACACAAACTGGTTTGGGATGTGCTGGTTGCAGCAGCAGCAGCACAGGCAGTGCTTGGGGTGAAACGGCCCCGTGGGGCAGCGCCGTGTGGGAGCAGAACCCGCTGGGTGCCGGGTGGGTGGGTGGTGGGGGCTGCCCTCCCCTCTGAGCCCTCGTTATTGCCCCAAGCTCATTAACGAGTGGCTGGCGTGTGGCTGGGTGAGAAACGGGCGGGCAGAAATCTGCTGCTGTCAGTGGTGATGTGATTGTGCTAACGAAGGGAGAGCTGAGCCCCCGCCGTGCCCGCGGCTGTGCCAGGGCTGGTGGCTCCTCCTGGCACTGGGCCTTGGGCGTCCAGAGCAGCCAAGGGGATCCAGGAGCCCTGAGGGGCTGGGATGGCTCAGGGTCGGGGGCACTGGGGCATTGGGGTGCCCTGGGAGCTGCTGTGCCAGTGCAGTGGAGCATGGCACGGAGCTGCTGGAAAGAACATGGTGCCAGGACCATTCAGGTGTGGTGGTGGTGCCAGGGACCACCCTCATCCCCACGGCTGCTGCTCTGAGTTTGGGTTCCCCCATCCACGGGGGTGGATCCAGCCTCAGGATGTGTTCCTATCACTGCCTGGCCAGCAGGCAGGAATGTGCTGGAGCAGCTCCCTGCTGTGCTGGCCATGCTTGGCATCCCTCACACATCCCCCTTGGCATCCCTCATAGCCCCGCTTGGCATCCCTTACACCCCCTTGGCATCCCTTCCACCCTTCTTGGCATCCCTCATAGCCCCCTTGGCATCCCTCACACCCCCTTGGCATCCTTCCTGCCCCCCTTGGCGTCCCTGACACTCCCCTTGGCATGTCTCACACCCTGGGCATGCTGGTGATGCCACTGGCGTGGGCATTGCCCTCAGCACCCTCCGTGCGTTTGGGGACCAGTTCTTGGGGTTGCATTTCCCAGCTTTGGGGCTGCATTTCCCAGTTTTGGGGGTGCATTTCCCAGCTTTGGGGCTGCATTTCCCAGTTTTGGGGGTGCATTTCCCAGCTTTGGGGACGCATTTCCCAGCTTTGGGGACGCATTTCCCAGCTTTGGGGCTGCATTTCCCAGCTTTGGGGGCGCATTTCCTAGTGTTGGGATTGCATTTCCCAATTTTGGGATTGCATTTCCCAGTTTTGGGGGTGCATTTCCCAGCTTTTGGGGTGCTTTTCCCAATTTTGGGGATGCATTTCCCAATTTTGGGGGTAAATTCCCCAGTTTTGGGGATGCATTCCCCAGTTTTGGGGCTGTGCCCTGCCTCACCTTGCAGCCCCTCTCCCCAGCCCCACTCCCAGCACCTGCCTGTGCCCCGGGCAGGCCGTGCCCCCTTGGCGGCCCCCGCCCCACCCTCGCGTCGCCCCCAGCCCCCCCCAGCCCCGG